ATTTCGCCTCTATAAGAGTAAAAACAGTTTCCACTTTGTCTGTCTTCGAATCGTGGCCGATCTATTGTATGGAAATCAGGAAAAAGAGAATCTGAACTCATAAGAAAAACCATCTTTTCGAGTAAATTGAATTCAACTCGAGAGCAATCAACGCTGAACAAGAAATTATTACAAGGAATAACCAAAGCTTTTAAAGAGGATCTTTTGAAGAAGAGATCACTTGATGACAGGCCAAATTAAGCTACTAAGCGGTTTCGCTTTTCACTGGTCGGCTAATGCCAATCTGACGCTCAGAAGGAAAGTTATTAATTCCTCTCTAAAATGACTAATCAGTTTTGGGTTTTTTTTTTTTTTCAAAATTTGCCTGCTTGATTTACAGTAGTAGTTTGTCAACATTATCTCTCTCGACCTAAATTTCGGAATCTAAATTTGCTTGCGACACAGAATTATTCCACTGACAAGAAATATATTAAACAGAAACAACTCTGAGAAAATCTACTTTAACATATGATTATCGAATGTTCACAATGTATGTAGGATGCATCTATACATAGAAAACTATTAATATACGTATTGGCGAGTCTTTTACTGATGTAACCTTAAGTAACGTGACGTATGAGATGCTTTTTGTCAAATAAACTCCTTTCTATTCAGTTTAATTTTAGACAAGCTTTCTTCAACACAAAAATTATCATTCCTTTTTCCTGTTCTTTCATATTTATCAGAGACGAAAATCCTTGTTGAGATCAAAATGCTGTAAGAGAATTGTAGAAGAATAGCAAATGTTCTTGACGAGATGTGTGGATAAGATTTCTGGATGGACATTGAAAAATACAAAAGAAAGATCGAACTGATCAAAATGTCAAATAGTTGGGGTTTGATTGGTCATTGGACCGAAGCAAAAGAATAAAGAAACGCAAGCGGAAGTAAAGACTTGGCCATTTGCATCTAAATGCAGGCTAATCAGGTTCAATACGACAATGGTCGGAAATATTTTTTTATATTTTTGTCATTTCATAAGATCTTTATGAGCTGTACTAACCTGATTTAATTGGTGTAGCATGGTAGAACAGCTATTTTTTTCAGAAAGTTATTTTTTTTTGTTATCGTGAAAACGCAGGAAGATCTTGGTAAGGCCTTAACGACGTGTTCAAGATTCATGAAAAAAAGTTCACCAGAAAAAGAAGCAAAACCATAAAGAAGAGAAAGCTGAAAAAGAAAACAACAAAAAAATGGAACCTCATCTTTAAATACCACTCCATCTTGTATAATCGTTATGGCTTCGGTAGGCCAAACAATGTATTCACATAATAAAAACGGATGTCTACGAGGATTGTTCAAAAAGTTCTAAGCCTCACCCAGAAAGAAGAATCATAGCTGAACATTTTTGTTGTGGCAACACACTACCACTTATGAAACTAGAAAAACTAATTCAGATTTCTGTATTAATTTCTGTGCAGGTGAGGCCACACATAGGTGTGTGGTGTGCGACAATTCGAAAAATGGATAAAACAGAGGCCCGAGCAGTTATAAATTATGAGCAAAAGAAAGGTATGACACCCAAGGAAATCTATGAAGGCATCGTATAGACACTTGTTGTGGAATTCAAGCAGTGCAGGGACAACACAGAAGATGACCTTTGTTCAGGTTGTCCAAAAACCTCAACCCCTGATGAAAAGATTGATGCCATTCACCGCATTGTTGGGAATGACAGACGTCTTACCCCCTCAGATACACAGACAGATATCACACACCAAATAGTAAGTCCATAGGCATTAGTCCTGATTCGATCCATACTGTTTTAACTGAGATTTTGAGGATGAGCAAGCTGTTTGGAAGATGAGTCCCAAGAATGCAGACACCGGAGCAGAAGCTGAAAAGGACATTTCCAGGATACTTCTGACTCGCCTCCAGTCTGATCCTGAGAATTTCCACTTCAGATCTGTAACTCAATAGGAAACCTGCGTTCACTACTTCGCATCTGAATCAAAGATGCAAAGCAAGCAGTGGAAACACTGGTTCTCCATAGCCGAAGAAGTTCAAGCAGGCGGCGTCTCTTGGCAAGGTGACGGCTTCTGTTTTTGTTTTGTTTTGATTCTGAAGGAATGATCATTGATAGACGACCTGAAAAGTGAAAAACTATCAATGGAGAATACAATGCTCTTGATTTAAAACAACTGAAGGAATCAATCAAGTCGAAACGCAGAGGGAATCTGAGGGCAGGTGTGCTCTCGCCCCAGAATAACCTGCCCGTTCACGCTGCTCAGATTGCAGTCACTGATGCTACCAACTGTGGCTTTGGATTGCTACCCCATCCCCCTTAGTCACTATACTTCATTTGACCTTTTCCTGTTTCTTAATAATTCGTATATTGAAAAAATGTTTTCTTTTCTCCAACTCCTTCTGGATAAAACTTTTTTTTTTTGAACGACCATCGCAGACTTTTGAATTAAGGGCCATCGAGAACAGGTTTGTGTTTGCCTTCATGGTTGGCAGTAAGCACACAAGACTGTAAAATCCACAAAAGGCTATGTGATGAAATCACGGCTAGGCAAGAGTATAACAGCTCAGCAAATTATTAAGGGAAAAATATTTCCCCAATGAGACATTATGCTGCCTACGCCGGAAAATGTGTAACTTAATTTTAAAAAAATATCTAAAAAAAAACACAAAAAGTATATTTCGAGTGAAGTATCAGGGTTAGATGACATAAAAATGTTTGACACGGTATGGAACTGCTAGAACAGTTCGATGGACAAAGTAAGATTGATTTATTTTGGAAGGATGTTAGAATAATCGAGAACTTATACTGGACACAAATTGACTGTATACGGATAGAAAATAAATGCAATAAATAAATAATAATGGAAAGGTATGTAAGACAAAAATATTTCTTTTCACCGGGATTATTCAACCTATACAGTGAGGCAATTCTTGGAGGATTAGAAGTCCTACCAGGATTAATTATTGGCGTCCATAGTCTTAACAAGATTAGATATGCAGATAACACAGTATTTATAGTAGACATAGAAAGGGAACGACAAGAACTCCTACAGAATATAGTAAAGGAAAGCGAAATGAAAAGAATTGTAAGAAGATATAAGATATGGTTGTCAGCAAAATAAACCGCTCATAATACGAATTACAAATTGGAGATACAACAATGAAGCAAGAGTAAAAATTTAAATATCTAGGAAGTGTTTTAACAGAGGACGGAAATTGCGACGTTCAAATCCCAAGGCGCATTGGGATAGCGAAAGATGACTTCCAAGAAGTAAATAAAGTATTAAGAAACAAGAAAATTACATTGGAATCAAAGAAAAACGTAATGTGAAATGTTATGTAATATCAGTCCTCCTATATGACAGTTAATGCTGAATAATCTCATCACAGACGGGGAAGACACTTGAGGCCAGAGAAATGTGGTTTTATAGAAGGATGCTGAGAATATCATTGACTGAGAATGTGAGCAACGGCGAAGTTTTAAAAGAAATGAAAACGAAAGGGACACTTATACGCAGCATCAGAAAAAGAGAGTTGAAATTCTTAGGGCATATAATGAGGAAAGAGGGCTTGGAGAATTTGATACTCACAGGGTATACTGAAAGCAAGAGGGGCAGACAAGGGTAGCGCATAACCAAACTAACAAGCTTTTGTAAATGATTAGCAGAACGTAGATCGGGAGATATAGCAAAAAGACTTACGAAGGGCTATAAAGGACAGGAAGCCATGATCGCCTACGTTAGAAGGAACACCGCACAAAGAAGAAGAAGAAGAAGAAGAAGAAGAAGAAGAAGAAGAAGAAGAAGAAGAAGACCCAGGTTAGAGGTTAAAAAGGACACCATGAGAGAAGTTATACTCTGTCATTCCTCAAAAAAGCTGGCGTAATAGCCTCGTCCACACCCTTTGGTCCGAAAATTCAGCCGGATCTGTCGTATTGGAGGGAGCAATATTTTGTTCTATTCAATATGACCGATTTTTATATTGCTATCAAAGATAGCGACTTCCTCGGGGAGAGGGTGGCAGAGCGATCAATGCAACGATATCCCAGCATCCAGGGAAAGGCCCGACGTTTGTACGCACCGACCATCAAAAACTGCGTCGACTGTGCCAGTCCGGACAATGAAAAAAGAGTGGATTTTTCTAATTGCGGGTACTCACAAGAAATACACAGACGCCTATAACGTAACCTCGCTTTCTTCGTTTGTAACAACGAATGTTACCTCGTTAATGTGCTACTTATGAAATCCAATCGTGATTGTGCATGATCATTCTAGTAGTCTTGTACGATAAATGGAATTAAACATATTTGACGTTTAGCGTATCATCCATCATCGAACGGATTAGTTGAACGTTCAGTTCAGATCATCAAGTGAGGATTAAACAAAGTTTCAGATGATTCGGAAATAAATTTACCTTGTGTCTTAGTATCGCCATCAACATTGAGTCAGCAGCAATTTTGCTGATTTTGGGTCGAAAGCCCAGATATCGCCTTGATCTAGTAAATCCGGATTTGTCAGTTAATATAAATAATAAAATTATTTAACCGTCCGCATGATTTCTCCCTAGCCATTACCAAATCGGCACTATTGTATGGTAGTAAGGCATGAACATTAACAAACTATCCGATTGATTTGTATTTTTTTTTTTTTTTTGCGGTTTATCAACCCTAAGTGGGTTATATAAAAACCGAGACATATATCGTATTGTGATAGGTTGCTTACAGTATTCGGTGTTCCACTAAGTACTACATGGACATTAACAAAATTATCCAACATTGATTGCTTTTTACGTTTTATCAACCCTTTGTGGGTTATTTAAAGCCAAAATATATTTCAGATTATAGGAGGCTGCTTACAGTGCCCAATGTAACAAAGCGCCACCTATATAAGTAATACATGGACATTAACAAAAATATCCTACTGGTTGATTTGATTTTTACGGTTTATCAACCCTTATTTAAAACCGATATTTGTGATTGTAGTTGGCTGCTTAGAGTAACCAGTGTTCCCAAGTGGGCCCTCCTCTAAGTAGTTACAGGGCTCGACACTGCTTAAATTCAGTGATCAAACGAGAACCAGTGTTTTCGGTGCGGTTTGGCCGTAAGCCACAAAAGAATACGAAAAGAAATTTGATGGCAGACACACAAGAATGTTGCGTGCTGCACTAAGTCTATTCTGGCGACAAAAGGTCTACAACCATCGACTTTTCATATCACAGAACATGCGAGAAAGAAGAACACAATTTGCAAGGGATTACTGGAGAAAATTTAAGCAATCTACTATAATTTGAAATATGTTGCGGCTTTAAATAACACACCAAGAGTTGATAAGCCGTAAAAAAAAGAGAAAAAGAAGTCAATCAGTCCTGACGAAGGAACGATGAGCTGACCAGCAATGCGCATCTTAGTACACGAACACGTGTACACATTAATGTTGGTTGATCTTTCAAAACTTACATACAACAATTATGCGACGATATCATCTCTAACTTGGATCCCCAGAAAGCATGTGGATTTGATGGTACCCCTGTAATAGTCCTTAAGAAATGTGCTCCTGGACTGGCTCCTGTTCTCTCTAAACCGTATAATAAATGCCACACTACCTCTTGCTTTCCTGCTTGTTGGAAATCCTCATCTGTTGTTCCAGCCTTTAAGAAGTCATGTGAACAGTCAGATCCTTCCAACTATCGGCCTTCTACCTCTTTTTGGCAGACTACTAGAGGCCCTAACCAACGCTGAACTAGTTAAACATCTCACATCGCAATGCCTTCTTTCAGACAAACAATATGACTTTTTGTTTCTCTAGGTCAATTGCTGATGTATCAACGATTATTAAGAGTCTATCAAGCTTTAGAATAATGAAGTTCGGACTGTTGCCTTGGATATCTCGAAAGCGTTCTGTTGTTAACTGGGACAAGGATAGATTCATTTTAACTCCTCCAAAACAAAACTACTCTGCATTAATCATTTGAGAGAACACTTTTTTCCTTCCATCAGCATGGCTGATGTAAACCTTTAGGAGAGTAATTTACTGCGCCTTCTCGAACCAATATTCTCGGCTGACATGAAGTGGAAAAACTATATTGAATCCACTACGGGGTCTACGGCTACGAAAGTTGGTTAGCTGTATATTGCTAGACAATTTTTCTCTCCAAAACCTATCTTACATATCTGTAAGTCTGCCATTCATCCATGCTTAGAATATTGCTGCTACATATGGTTCTGCGCTCCTGCTATATATTTAGAGATTCTTGATAAAATCCAAAGAATTAGCAATATTATTGGCCCTAACCTGGTGTCTTCACCTTGGCCATATTCTAGCGGTCGTAAAATTGCTTCCCTGTGACTTTTCTATAAATACTTCAATTGCAATTGTTCTAATAAGCGCTGTTCTATGGTACCTAGATTTTATGAATTTAAGCGGACTACTAGATTAGCAACCAGGTCTTATCAATTTACAGTTGAATTGGTTAGATGTTATATGCTAACAGTTTCCTTTCTCACACTTCTCGTTTGTGGAACTCTCCGCCAGCTCCATGCTTTCCCGTTAACTTTGATTTCCCAAAAATTAAATGCAATGTCAATCGTTATCTACTGTCTTCCTGATTTCTTTTCTGTTGTTCTCGTTCCTTAATAATGTTTTTATTTTCTAATTCTTTCACACTCAGCAACCCCGTGTGTCTTAGTGGCTTAACTGTCTTGCTTGGGGTAAATTCCATGGAAAAAGTCATGTCGCCTCAGAATTTTCTGTCCTTTGTAGCTCCTAGAAATCTTTGCATTTTCATTATACTTCCAAAGAGCTGGGACACTACAGGTGCTACCATCTCAGGTCAGGGTGGACCTGAGAACAACAGCAATTAAGAAGTGGTTTCACGCTCCTCAAAACCTCCTGATCAGTGACCCTACAGCCGGAAATAGCTTATCATTATACCCAGGACGAATATGTGTGTGTGTGTGTGTGTGTGTGAGAGAGAGAGAGAGAATTTAAAGCCTTATTTCCAATCATAGTATGTTATTTTGATAGGCACGTTCATTTCATTTCGGCCAAATTTGACCTGCCTTGTTCAAACAGAGTAAGACTGTATTGATCGAGAAAGCATCCCCGTGGCACATAAAAGAAGGTGAATAAGAAGATTAAACTCGTTTTGCATGAAGAACAACATCAATATTTCAATAGACTATTCATTCATACTTGCAAACAAAAAGTAAATTATTATTAATGACAGATCAATGGAAAAGGTTAAGAAACTCATTTCCGATTTAAGATCGTTAATTTACGAACTATTTTTAAGATAAGTTATTAAAATTATCATACATTTAATATATATATATATATATATATATATATATATATATATATATATATATTTGCCATCCATATAATTAATTTTATATTTATAAATATTTATCTTATAATCCGATAAATCGTTTTTCAGGGTTTTTAATTAGTACTATGGCAAATATTCGGACGAGTTACATCCCTTAGTTCCACCGGCTCAGACCTTTACATTTAGGATCCGTTGGCAAATTATGCCCATTCCTTTCGTATTTCTTTGATAAAGAGCAAGTTCTACTCAGGCAGCTTCTTTCCTAGAACTGTTGCTTTATGGAACAGACTCCTGGCAGTGGTGGTGGTGGTGGGGGGGCTTCCTTGACAACTACATTCTTGGTCTTTTCAACCGATATCTATCATACACGTCTAATGGACACTTCTTTTATCTCAATTAAAACAATCTCGGTCTACCGGGAGTTACCTCTGGATCTTGTGTTGGGTAAACCAACAGTATAAAAAATTCAAAAACAAATTATTCGAAATAAGACAAACAACAAATTAAATCTTAAGAATAGTAATCTAACATACTTATAGATCCACCATTCTTCCTTGTTTTCAATATTGCAGCCACATCTAGTCTGGTGCTCCTGCTATATATTTAGAGATTCTTGATAAAAATCCAAAGAAAAATATGCAATATTATTGGTCCTGACCTGGTATCTCGGTTTGTTTCCCATCGCCGTAATGTAGATTCCCTGTGCCTTTTCTGTAAAAACTTTCATAGTAATTGTTCTGATTAACTTTCCTCAATGGTAACTAGTTAGAACTACATAGAGACTTTGAGGTATTATGGTGACTGTAGTAAGAATGGTAAGTAAGAATGTGTTGTTTTGATGTAAGGAATACTGTTGAATATTTGAGTCATTAATCTTGGCTAGCTAAGTTTAAGATAAGACGGATTGAAGACCATCCCACCCCTATGCCCCACTTGGCCTCGTGCCACATTTTTGTACTTTCAATCTAAATATTACTTTCCTCTATGGTACCTAGACTTAAAGGGGATTACTAGACTGGCGACAAAGTCTCACCATTTTATAGTTGGCTATATGGCACCGTAAGTCCTATCCTAACAGTTTCTTCTATCGCACTTCTCGCCTGCGGAAATCTCTTCCAGCTTCTTGCTTCCCTGTCAAGTTTAAATGTAATGTCAATCGTTTTCTTCTACCTTCCTAATTCCTGTGTTTTTATTGTTCTCTTTCCATAATAGTGTTTTTTTTATATTCTCTAATACTCAGTAACCTCATGCGTCTTAGTGGCTTTGTTCACTTACATGGGATGAAATGATTAAAAAATAAATTATAAGACTTAATATCAACTACTTAAAAAAAGATAAAATTAAATACATGCTTACGTATCTTAAAAATTTAGCTAAATTATCCTTTCAGCAATTTTAATGAAATATGTATTTTAGAGTTATTGCTGCCCAATTTCACAACGTTATATATATATATATATATATATATATATATATATATATATATATATATATATATATATATACTAACCGAATTAGCCGCGTAAGAAAATGATTTGTGGAGAAAAATGATGCATCTCTATATTACTCAACCGCCATATTTCTTTATTTTGCATAGGAGTCATTCTGTTGTTCAAATTTAAATTTAATTTAAATAAAAGGGGAAAAAATTCAGTGGGTGTGCCCCCACCTCCCCACCGCGGAACCTCCTTTGATCAAAATGAAATATACTTATCCAAGTACCCTGAGTAATGTAGTTTCAGAATATATATGGTTAAGGGGGCCTATCTCCCAAACCCTAGGAGGCGTTCGATAACAAATAGACAGACAGAAGCTACAATATTATTTACATAGATGTGTATGTGTGTGCGTGCGTGTGTGTGTGTGTGTGTGTGTGTGTGCGTGTGTCTGCAGAATTTTCCTTCATATAGAAAAATGTATTCTACAAAACTCAAAACATAAAAGCATTTGCCACAGCCCTGAAAAGAAAAATAGCTTTAACCTGGAAAGTTTGATTTAAGATATGAAAACACATATTATTATTATTATTAAGGATTCCCATTCTACAAAAAGCAGCCCAGCTTGTATTATCCATTTACCCAACTTTCTGAATTTCTTACGACATCATTCTCAGCAAAATACCATTCCTTGTACATTTCAAACGTGAGTCATAGTCTGGACAAAATGAACGAAATTTGCAATATATACAAGCACATATTTACATACATGCATACAATCCATTTATACATACATACATACATACATGCATACATACATACATACATACATATGCATACATATAGATATCTATCCAAAAAAAAAAGAAAGAAAGAAAAGAGAGGAATAGTAAACGTAAAAATTTAAAAAAATATATATTCTTTATTTCTTTTTAAATAAAGCCCATGTGTAGGTAGTACAGCAGCTATCGGTGCGGAAATTGGAATTGGCGAGCACAGTTCAAATTCCTTGCACACGAATGGCCTTGAGAAAAGTGTGAATGCATTTCTTCTTCCACCAACAATAAGATAAATAACAAGGTAGGCTACTTTGAATTCAAAACCGTGGCAAGTCAACGGGAAACCACTCTGTTGTCTTGCTTAAGAATTCATGGAAATTGACAAAAAAAAAACTTTTAATAACCATCATCACCCACGTCCTGATAGATATATATATATATATATATATATATATATATATATATATATATATATGTGTGTGTGTGTGTGTGTATTTATGTATCTATATTTAAATAAAAAGAAAGAACAATAGGATACATAATCCAGTGTTCTTATTGATAT